GAATAAATTAGGGATTAACAGATACATATTACCACATATAAAATAAACAACAAGGACCTACTGTACAGCACAGGGAACTATATTCAGTGTCTTATAATAACCTATAATGGAAAAGAATCTGAAAAAGAATATGTATATGTGTATATACATATAACTGAATCACTTTGCTGTACACCTGAAACATTGTAAATCAACTATACTTCAATAATAAAAAAAAGAAATGCTATGTCTTCCCTACACCTCCCCCCCCGCCCAAAATTACCTGCCTGAGCCTTGTGGCTCATAAGGGACTGAGCCAGGGCACAAACTCAGGATGGGGGGCCCCAGGTTTTGTGCTGCCAGGCGTTGCACCCCTGAGTCTCTGCTAAGCCACACTCACCCCTTTGGTGAAGACGTAACGAGTTCACAGCATTGCAAAAGGGAAGCAATTGCGGACGCCAGCAGGATGACCAGGACCTGCCGCCTCTAGGCTGAGGAGCCTCGCCTACCTGCTGTTGAGATGCTCCAGCTTGAAGATGTGCACGGTCTCCGTGTTGCTTGAGGCACAGAGGAACTGGGAGTCCATACTGAAGACCAGAGAGCTGATCGTTACGTACCTAGAAACACAGCAACGAGTGGACGGGTGAGCCCAGGGGGTGAGGGGGGCGGCCTTAGAGTTCAAAAATCAGCTTCAGGAAGAACACTGATGTGTCTTGAAGAGCCTGGGCACAGGCAGACCTCCTTCTATTCCGCTGCACTTCATTAAACTTTGCAGGTACTGAGTTTTTGGTTTTTTTGTTTGTTTGTTTTTAAATGTTGAAGGTTTGTGGCAACCCTGCCTTGAGCAAATCCATCGGTGTCATTTTTCCAAGAGTATTTGCTCACTTCGTGTCTCTGTACATGTTTTGGTAATTCTCACCATATTCCAGGCTTTTTCATTACTGTTATATTTGTCACGGTGATCTGTGATCAGTGATCTTTGATGTTACTGTTGCAAAAACATTATACCTCGCTGGAGGCTCAGATGATGGTTAGCATTTTTTTAGCAATAGAGCATTTGTATTTATTTTCTGGGGGTGGGTGGGTAATTAGGTTTTACTTATTTATTTATTTTAATGGAGGTACAGGGGACTGAACCCATGACCTTGTGCATGCTAAGCATGTGCTCTACCACTGGGCTATACCATCCCCCCATGGAGCATTTTAAAATTAAGGTATGTACATAGTTTTCCTTAGACATAATGCTATTGCAGACTTAATAAGACTACAGTACAGTATAAGCATAACTTTTATAGGCATTGGGGAACCAAAAAACGCGTGTGACTCGCTTTATTGCGGTGCTCCGGAACCAAGCCCACAGCGGCCCCGAGGTCTGCCTGTGGTCTAAGGTCCCTTCAGCACTGTGTCATTCCTATTTTGAAATTAATGTCGGAAAGATTCCCAGTGGGTCATGGCTTCAGGTGAGAAGAAACAAGCCTCCTTCCTGTCATGCTGGAGGTTCTCCATGTGCTCTGTGCACTGACCCAGCCGCAAGCCTGGCAGCCCACAGCATCCCCGACCACGGCACGTTTTCATTCCACGGAAGGGAATCGGAAGTTACTTTCGGGCTGTGACTCCTCGCTCATCTCGCTTCTCCTTTGCCGGCCACCCATGCACATGTCAAAAAGAGGGCTCTCCAGGCTGAAGGCCCAGGTTAGCAAGGGTAACCCCTCTCCGCTCTCAGGGATACCAAGCACTTGGCGGGGCGTTTAAGGCAGTGACCTGAGAAAGAACAGGTATTCATCCTCCCAGGGAGAAGCCGAGTGCACGGCACCCCCATCCTCTCCCCAGATGGCTGCCAGCCACCCATGGCGGGACCTCTGTGGGGACTTTAAAGCGGGTCTCACAGTGAACACAGACCTTTTCATTCCTCTCCGAAACTCATAGAGCTTTTGCCCGTCGGGTACTGAGAACACCCGGATGACAGTGCCCTGGAAGAGAAAGCAGGTGGGCAATTCATACCACGAATGGCTTCACACAGACATGAGCCTTTAGAGAGGAGCACGTCTTGTTGGTTTGGAACATCTGTTTCTGGAGGGGAAGCCCAGAAGGTGGAGCAGCGAGGCTCTCTGGTTTGTGTACGTGCCATGTAAACCATCCTGGGAACGGGAATCGGACACTCCCGTTTCCCGGTCCCTCCCCACCCTAGCCTGAGGCTCTGGGCGTGTCTGTTCCATCCTCTCTGCCTTCCCAGAACAGTCAGTCTCGGCCTGTCACAGATACACCTGTTTTCCATGGAATCTGAAGTTCAACTTGATCACCTTCCCTGGTTATTCTACTCAGAAGAGATTAATCTCACCTGCTAAACAGCCAGACACACTGTTTCTAATGGGCTTATGAGATGCAGTATCTCTCTGTATCTGCGATGACACGCACCCACACTGCTTAATGAGACCGCAAGGCTCTGTGCAAAGTATCTCGTTTCCTGCAGGGCCGAGGCCTCTGGTCTGTTGGGTTGATAAATGCACCCCAACCTGCAGGGGCCTCCCTCTGAATGAATCCTGAGCGGCCTGAGACTTGTCAATCCTCACGTCCCTGGCCTCCTTCCCTCAGCTCTCAGCGCCGGGAGCCAACCAGCGCCGCCCCAGCTGGAGGAGAGCCCGAGGCCCCGGGAACACTCACTTTCTCAGATGCGCTCGCCAGTTTGGAGCCTGAGGCGTTAAAGGCGATGGCAGCCAGTGTCCCCTCATGGGCAGCAATCGTGCAGACTGTTTTCTGTTGGTGAAAAGCAAAATGGATGTTGCGGGCGGGGCAAAGGGAAGGTGCATTTCATCTCCATCCTTCCTCTTTCCTTCCCAGACACTCCCACTCATCTGCCAGGTTCCCTGTCTCTCTTTCCACCAGACTGTTGACACATAAACTGTACGTCGTTTCCTGGCCTATCTAGATTCTGCTTCAGGGGCTGCTCCGTTTCTGTCCCCTTTCCTGCCCTCGGGAAGCTGGACGACCTGCCGTGTGGCCGAGGCAGGGTGCTGTGGCCCTGCGTGCATCTCTGGGGGCCTGACTTCCTGCAGCCACCCTGGCCCGCTCTGTGAAGCCTCCGAGAGCAGAGGACAGGAAATGTGAAACAGCTGCACGCTGTCGCGGGCCGCGACACGGCCCAGCATGACGCACTCGATCCGACGATGGGCCACCAGCTGGTGCGAGTCTTCCATCCGCCGGCAGATGTCTGACTCGGCCTGGCACGCTGCCTCGTGGCTACGGCGACTGGGCAACCAGGGCGGACAGCATCACCGTCCCCTCCACACCCAGCAGCCGCCCAGGGCTGCTTCCGCCTCAGCACTGCGCCTCACCTGCCCCTCACCTGCCACTGACCACGCAGCCAGGCAGGCAGGCTGGGCCGGTCAGGGTCATTGTTCACTTACCAGGGAGTGTCCGTCGTAAAGCACGATCTCGCCTGTCGTCAGGCTTCCGGGATAGGCCACGTAAGAATTGGAATGGTTGATTGAGAGGGCACACAGACCTGGCAGGGAGCAAAGCGCACATGAAAAGCCAGGGTCCGGCCAGGGGAGACCTTGCCTGGAAAGGGCATCTGCAAACGGTACGACTACAGTGCCACCTGCTGGTGAGGGGAGGAACGGCCTTGCCGATGTTTCCTTGGAACTGATTCTTCTCATCAAAGGGCTCCAATAAAGAGAATTCACAGGGGAAGACCTCACCGTTTGACACCGACCACGTCCACTCCACAGCGAAGAAATCAGAATTTAGAACATTTTAAATGCTCTTCCTTACATTTTACCCCAGGGCCCTGAAATAACATTTACTTCTCCCCCAGTTCCATTACCCTCTAGGGCTGCAGGAGAATTTACTCCTGTTGCAAGTGTTCCAGCTGTAAAAGGGTGGGTGGTGTTAGCCTTTCTACAGGTGGCAGAAAGGCCAGTCATTTCAGGCTGGAGGATAGGGAGGCTGGGTTGGGGTTGGGGGGGACCTATTTAGAAAGTGCTCGTTTCTGAGCCAAATACCCTGCCTTGATAAAGGCAGAGGTGAAGGTGCACTTGAGGGCTGCATCTGCAGTGAAGACAGCGTGGCTGCCACTGGAGCAAACCAAAGAAAGAGGACATTTTGGATTGAAGACGCTTCCACAATATTCTGGAAGAGTAAACAGCCAATCAAACAACTGAACCAACTTGAGCCATTATTATTTACCAGGGGATTCAAGCTGGGGAGGATCCTACTAGCATGTAAGTAAGGGACTTTTACAAGGATGGTTTAGATTCATAGAGGTGTACGTGATAGAAGTGAATTCAAGGAATTATCAGGATCAAAAGCATCACCAGAATAGAAACTTTGAGATAGTGCAAGAGAGACGTCTTTTTAAATGAAAAAGGTGACTGATACCTTTGTTACAAGTTAGTACATTACATGGGTTTCTTTCAAAAGTATAAGAAAAACTTTAGATCAGGCTAAGATGTACCTGATCTAATCTTTTGGGGTGGGGTGGGGAGAGTGGGCGTAAAAAAAATAAACATTGAGAATTGGTACCCAGGTCCTACCTCCTGCTCTGGCTTTGCTATGGTTTGCTATGGCTTTGCTCCTGCCAGGGCTATGCTCTTATCACTGGCCATGCAGCTGTGGGAGGGCGACTGAGCCCAGCACCCTTTCCTGCAGGCTCTGGCACCCTGCAGCCCTCTTTCCTGTGCAAGGTCACCAGGCTTTAGAAGAGGCCACTCAGCCCTTCCCAGTTTTGCTCTAGGAACCCCAATTTCCCATCATCATCTGAGCTCTTTGCAACACAAATGCAATTTCAAGAAGAGCCAGACAGAAGGCATTCTGATCTTGTGGAACTGGGGAGGGAAGAAAATCAGGAGGTCGGCTGGCTGGCGTGGGGGGTTCCCACAGGGGCGGCAAAGATATTAAGATTGAACGTGGCATCTGTAGAAGGACTCGAGCACCAAGCCAGATCAAAAAGTTAAGATGCAGTGGGTAACTGCTGACGGGTTCTGAGCACATGGGTTTAGAAAAAGCAGTGTTAATCAAAACCACAATGAGATACCACTTCACACCCCCTAGGATGGCTATAATCAAAAAGACAGATAATTGGAACTCTCATACAGTGCTGCTGGGAATGTAATGGGGGTGGGTGGTGCTTTGGAAAACAGCCTGGCAGTTCCTCAAAAGGTTAAACACAGAATTATTATATAACCCCCCAAATTCCACCCCTAGGTATACACCCAAGAGAAATTAAAAAGTGTAGCCGCATAAAAACTTGTATACAAATGTTCATAGCAACATTATTCATAATAGTCAAAAAGTGGAAACAACCCAAATGTCTATCAACTGATGAATGAATAGATAAAATGTGGTATATCCTAACCATGGAATAGTATCAGACACTAAAAAGAAATGAAGTACTAATTCCTACTACTACATGGATAAACCCTGAAAATACTGTGTTCACAAAAGACCATATATTGTATGAGTCCCTTATATGAGAATCCAGGACAGACAAAGCTCTGAGATAGAAAGCAGATTAGAGTAGCCCAGGACTTGGAGCAAGGGGGTGATGGCTAAGAGGTATGGGTTTTTTGCGGGGATTGATGAAAATATCCTAAAATTGACTGAATATACTAAAAGCTACTGAATTGTGTACTTTGAATGCACAAATTGTATGGCATGTGAATTATATCTCAATAAAGCTATTTTGGGAGCGGGGGAGTTAGTGTTTGAAGAATGTCTGACAGAGACAGGCCCAGGGCATGGCTTCAAGATGGCATCGACATAGGCTCTGTAGATGGTGTAACACAGGCTGAGTTACACGTGGTCCTTTTAGGCCTGTTTCCTCCCTGGGGAATGAGGGGGCAAGGGGGCAATGGTGATCTAGGGTCCTTTCCAGCTTTAACGTTCCAAGATCCCAAGTCTTCATTTACTTACTTCCTCAACTGAAAATATCTCTGTGGCAGGGAGAAGGAACCACAGGGGTCTTTGAGCAGAAGGCTTGGACAGATCCTTCCCGCTGCCCTTCAGTATGTTTTTCTTTTTAACTGAGGTGTAACTGCCAAATAACTGTATCAGTTTCAGGGACACAGCATAACGATTTGGTATTTGTATATATTACAAAATGATCACAGTAAGTCTAGTTAACATCTTTCACCATACATAGTTACCAAAAAAAAATATATATTTTTTTTCTTGATGAGAACTTTTAAGCCCTATTCTCTAAGCACCTTTCAAATATGCACTACAGTATTATTAATGACAGTTTCTGTCCTGAACGTTATACCCCCGTGGATGATTTATTTTGTAACTGGGAAGTGTGTGCCTTTTGACCCCGTCTGACCATTTCTCATTCCCCTTCCCCCTGACTCCCAGCCTCCGGCAACCACCAATCTGTTCTCTGTATCTATGAGCTCGTTTGTTTTTAAGATTCCACATACAGGCGAGATCGGATGGTATTTGTCTTGCTCTGCCTGATTTAATTCACTTAGCACGAAGCCCTCAAGGTCCATCCTTGTTATTACAATGGCAAGATTTCTTTCTTTTTTTTTATGGCTGAGCAAGTAGTATTCCATTATTTCTATATACTACTTCTTTATTCATCCATCAGTGAACACTTTGTTTGTTTCCATGTCTTGGCCATTGTAAATAATGCCGCAATGAACACGGGAGCCCAGTTATCTTTCTGAGTTAGTGTTTTCATTTTCTTTGGATAAATACCCAGAAGTGGAATTGCTTAGTCATAAGGTGGTTCTAGTTTTAGTTTTTTGAGGACCCTCTGGAGCGTTTCCATAGCGGCAGCCCCAGTTTACATTCCCACGGGCAGCGCACAAGGGTTCCCTTTTCTCCACGCGCTTGCCAACACTTGTTACCGCTTGTCTGTTTGATAATGGCCATTCTTGCCGAGTGTGAGGTGACTTGCTGACTTCTATATTCAAACGTAAATATCCCAGAAAAGAAGAAAGCTTAAACTTCTTCAGCTAACATGCAACTTTCTGTAATACCTAATGGAGGAAGAGGTGACACTGGATTCTGATGAGAAGGGACCAGGGCAGGTTGACCCTGACATGTAACCACCTACCTGACAGTTTTGCCTAGGGCCCGGCACCTCTGCCAGCCCATCTGAATTTAGCCAAGGGACTCTGCACACCAACCCTTGTAAACTTAACGAAGGTCCCCAGAAATGCCTAATGTGAGCTTTTTTGGTTTCCTGTAGTCCAGTTGTCAGACAAATCCAATCAGCCCTAAGAATGCATCTTTATTTCTTGTGAAGGCTCTGAGGACAGCAGGAAGAATCTGCTACAGACTTAGATATTACTGTCCTACCAAGTCTTCCGTTTGTATCGCAAATGTCACCCAAATCCCCTTTTTAGGCAGGAAATGAGCTTTTTCTTTGATATTATTTTATAATATAAAATGTTTTGTAATATAAAAGTGATAGTGCAAAAAAATTTGCAGAGCCCAGAAAATATAAAGAGACAGAGAAAGAAATCACCCATAATTCTAAAACCCAGAGGCTTTTCAGTGCTCTTAACATTTGAGTATTTTCTTCCAGGCTTTTTTTTTTTTTTTAAATTACAGGAGTTAGGTTTTGATGTGGCTTTTGGACTTTAAACTTGACACACATTTTCATAAATCACTGTCAGCTATAATTTCACACAAATTGTCTGGCTGTAATTCCTCCACAGCTGGGAAAGAAATGCCTGCTTTCCGTTCAAGAACCAGTGGCATCATTTGCTGGAATCAGAAGGAAGTCCTGTGATTCTAAATCATTCTTACCTCAGTATTTATAGTATTACATGTCAAACATAAAGCAAGTTAACAGTGATTTACAAAACGCAGTTCTCTCTGGGTTGATTAATGTCTCAGAATATGCTTTGCCATCGTTAAAAATAGAAAGGAAAGAAGTCATTTCTGTGCTTGCAAACGCTCCGTGCTACCGCAAACGAGCACTGTTTACCCCACCTGGGTTACATTTTGATAAAAGCACTAGCTGGGGAATACATAGCGACTCCTCTCTGTTACACACGGTGCCCCGTGGAATAGACTGCTCCCTCAACACTCCGTAAAAGGCTCTCTGATCTATGGCATCCTTGAGTTCTGCAGTTGGCAGGTTTTTTGTAGAGATTTCCACCCCCAGCTGCTCAGGGCACAGACTGCTGTGCTGGCAGGAAATTAACTTCGGGCCCCGTCTGGCCAAACTCTTGAAAGGAAACAGCCTGCAATCTTTGACACAACAGGAATGGGCCTGACACAAACAGACAAAAGGGAAGGAAATTTACAGCCACATTCGATGCTGAGCATGAAGCAGTGGCAGAAGTCCGTGTTCATCGCGTATCTGTGGTTCACTAGGTCAAGATACATTCAGACTTTGTGTGATGGAGACACAGACAAGTGATTCTGTCTCCCTTGTGGACCCATTAAGGATTCAGAAAAACTGAGGGACAGAGTTCCCCTCTTATATTTTGTTGTTGCTGTTCAGAAAATAAACAAGAGAATGGGAACAAATATAGGAGACTCCTGGCTTCTGAGGATCTTACAGTCATGGTTTCAGCTGCTCAGGGTCTGCTGATGGCTCAGGTCAGTGCAGCGAAACTTTGACCTGTTTCAAGGCCGCCCTCCTGGCTGGAGACGGAAGTACATGAGCAGAGCCGGCTCTGAGGGAGCCTTGCTGACTGCCTGCCTGCCTGTGCTCAGCGGACCTGCCTTTGCTCTCATGCACTCCGCGGCCCTGGTCCATCCTCCCCAGAATAGCCCTGTGTGGTGAAAATGATCAGCTCCACTTTACTGAAGCAGAAAGAGCTCAGGGAGGGTTGAGAGGATGGTTGTAAATGTCAGGATTTGAAAAGGTCTCAGGCTGTGTCTCCAAAGAACATCCCAGGTGTAATAAGACACATCTTGGTCTTTTCACCCGCCCCTGGCCTTTCAGGAGGAAGTGCTAAACCGGGACCCATTCATAATGTTTATCTGAGACAGAGAAAACACCTCCCATTGTTCCTAATTTTTTCTTGAGATAAAAGGATGCCCTTTGCAGATAGTGCACATTCTCTCTCACATCAAGCACAAATAGCCCCACACTTTCAAACCTCATCTTCTCCCTGTTTCACTGCAGAATCTGAGGCAATCAGTGAGTTTTCTGAGCTATGACAAACAGCTGTAACAGCAGACAATTAACAGCAGATGGGCTCTTCATAGAAGGGACAGCCCCGGACACAGGCAGTCCTGTCCTCGGGCCCGAATGGGCCGAGTGTGACGATGGGAGGGAGGGCAGCTGACCACTGCATTAACCCGCAGGTCGCCCCACTGGAGAGGCCACGGACTGTGCCCAACTCCCCTCTTTTCTAAGAAACAGAGTCACCGGCAGCTTTTGAGCTTTCTGTCCGCCTGAAATGTCCTCTGCCCAGAGCCGCCAGGGTCCAGGTCAGGCCCACCCATCCCATGGGCTCTGCTCAGGCTCCATGACTCCTCTCGCGCCCGATCAGAAGAGCACATCTTCCTTCAGCTGTCACACCCTGGGTCCCCGCCCTACCAAAGAGGCCAGGGCCCTGGCCGTGCACTACGTCACGTGGGGCAAGCCGCCTCAGGGAGCCAGTGCTGGCTAGATTTTGGGTTCCTGGGTTCCTGTGGCTGCCACAATCTGTGCCTGACAGTGTCTACTGTGGTCCTGGGCACATAGCACGTCTGCAATAAATATTTTCCAGATTAGTTCAACCTCTCATTTCTTAAAAAAAACCCAAAAACGAAAAACAACTAACTGCCCCCCACCCCAAGCAAATTCACTTACCACCCTCCATTTTGCGAAATAGGCTTAAAAGTCATTATCTCACCCAACTTTATAACAGCCTCAATAGCTTTGATCTTTTAAAATACCATTTTGGCAGGACTGAGATTTTAAAGCACTGAGGTCAACAGCAAAGGGCCGTCTATATAAGTACCTTAATTCTCCAGCTGATCCTGGGAGATGGGTATTATTACTCCATTTCACAGATAGTGAGACTGAGGCTCCAAGAACCTACGTGCCTGAAGTTGGGCCACAAAGATCTTGAAATTCAGTGGAAGTCAAAGAATCAGGAAACTACAGTAAACGGAGGCAGTCATTCAATGACACAAAGTTGGAGTGCAATTTATAAATATTACCCTGAATCGTTGGATGTGCCAGCTGTTCCAGTCTGGTGACTCCCCACCCAACCGCACAACGAAGGACTTCCTTCTCGTTTACTTCTACTTCCATGAATTCATAAAGTGCCATCATCATCATCAGCTATTTCAATCAAACCAGTCCAAACTATTCCCATTCTTGAAGTGGGAAATTGTATTGAACGGTGTTACATCTGAGACTTAAAGCCCAGCATCCTAGCATATCACCCAAGTAGAGAGATTCACTTGTAATGTAACAAAACATTCCTCACGGTTTGGGTTGTCCGTCTCCTCGCAGACACATCAAGTCAAAACCTGCTTCTAATTATTACGCTTACTCTGTACTGAACAACCAGGAAAGTAACGAAGGGTAAACACCTTTCAGTATCAGATGCGTGAAATCTCTTATGTGTCTGCCTAAATGCTTCGACACGTTCCCTGAGCATGGGTCCCAGGCGGAAGGAACCTCCCCCTGCAGGAGGAGCAGCCTGATAGGATTTGAATCTGCCGCCATTAAGACAAAGCTTCAAGGCAAACGCCACGAAGATGTGTAAAGCAATGAAGCACACACGCTGCTTCAGGCTTTCAGTTTAGGTGCAAACACAGCTTGAGCAAGGAGCACCCCGACACGAGATCTGGGGGCACCCATTTCCGTGCTTGGAGCTCACCTGTTGGGTTTGCAGGGATATCCAGGATGGTCTTCAACAGCTTCATGTCTTTAATGTTGTGAATGTAAATGGACTCCTCCAGGCAAACGAGCAGCCTCTGAAATCACACAGACCCATCACTCTACTGGACTGATTCCCACCATCCCGAAATCAGCCCCACCATCCCGAAAAGAGCCCCACCATCCCGAAATCACTTGCCTTTCATGTGAATTCTAACCTGATTCTAAGCCTAAAGGGGGAAGAATTCTTTTTTTTTAAC